CATATAATGCACCGAAGAGTGGGTTTGTATATTTTAGATTTAATAGATTATTCATCAAATATTACGATTTTTTTTACTAATCAATTAAATACGATCCACGTACATTCTTTTAACATGGTGACAACGTGATGTTACATCATAATATTTTACAAGAATTATTTCTCACATTAGACATTTTTATTTTTATGCAATTGATTTTTGGTTTTTTAACGCATCCTAAATTCCTAATCTAATCTTAAACTCCATCAATATCGAACGATACTTTAACCTTCAATCCTTGGATGAATATATATATTTTTTTTAACTTTCAATGTCGCTAGGTTATAAACCTTTTAGTGATTTTTAATTGAGCGCATGAAACTACTGTAAACTAATAACAATTAAGAGAAACGGTTAAGGTTTTATATTTATTGAAAACTTAATTACAAAGAAATGAAAAATAAAGTCTATGGATAAAAAATGTATCTAAAGTTAATCTGGGTACAGTAGTTAATTAAAAGCCCAACACATAAATACCAACATTTAATTATGCTAAAATCCAAATTAAACTTACTAATACAATAATAATAAACATTGAGAGTTTGTCATACAAGAAACGAAATCAAGAGAATGATTGAGCTTTCGAGAAAATATTAGCAATATGCAATGTTGATGAAACATATGGTAGCGAGATGATTCCAAGTTATAGAAGATAGTGAAATGACAATCGATCTCAATATGTTTCATCCACTCATGGAAAACAGAATTAATGACAAACAATTTTACATAGTTGTTGTCACAATGTAAAAGGGCAATCTGAGAAACAACATACAAATTTCAAGAAACCAATGTAACCAAACAATCTCACAAATAGTTACATCAATAACACGAACCTCTATAGAAGAACTAAATACAACATTTTATTTTTTTTACTTTTCCATGAGATTAGTGAATTTACAGACAAAAAAAAAGAATCTAATTTTGGACTTATGATCATCAGGTTTACTATCTCAATCAAAATCACTATAGGAATGCAACTCTAGAGAATATGTTGAAGGGACTTTGAAATTGGGTGCAACAAAGATACCCCGAAATACAAACAACCCACCAATGCATAATAGTAGGACTAATTATAAACTAGTTAACCATATGAATGACATGAGCTATGTTCGAGCGAATGAATATAAACTAAACCAAACTACCCACAATAGTATGATATAGGTTTGGGTCTTATAAAGGAACACCATTGGTAAGGAATATTAAACATTAGTTTCACGAGGCATGTCTAATATCCTATTGTTAGAGGGTCATGCACATTTAAACATATATGTACTTCTATTGAGATAGAAGATAACCTTTTTAAGATTAACCAACCTCAATACCCAAAAAAATAACATAGAAATCATAACTCGTTTATAGAAAACAATAAGGCAAATCATGGTTCAAGGACTTATGACATCATTTTCATCATCGATAATAATCATATCATCTACATATAAGGATAGGGAGAACTTATCATATATACACTCATGCATTTACAAACAATGTTGAATCGTGATTACTAAGAGAAAAACCAAGAGGAGTAATCATGATATAGAATTTCTCAAACCAAGCACGAGGGGATTGTTTAATACCATATAGTGATTTTAAATATGAAAGCATCACTCGATTGTGTCTTAACAAGATCCCTAAAATTATTGTAGATTGTAAAATGTAACATCCCAAAAATACTAAGTAAAAAATTTTGTTTAAAATCAACCAAACCATCAACCATATATTTCAAAACCCATCAAGTATGTCATAGTAGAAAAATAGTTATCAAAGTACAATCTCAAAATCATAAAATGCCAAACATAGGTGGATGTTATGCGATCATGTCGGGCCATTTCCTTTTAAACCGGAAGGACCTAAAAAACATTTAAACATAAATTGTAAGCACAAAGCTTAGTGATTCCCCAAAATACCACATACCATACATAAAGATCATACATACATATCATATGTGCATACCACACATGCGTGTCATACTAAAGCTATAACGAGTCTATTTCAGCCCTGAGTCCCTTCCGACTCCCTGAGTCCCTTTCGACTCGCTGAGTCCCTTCCGACTCTCTAAGTCCCTTCCAACTCCTTCGGTATCTTTCAACTGGTGCAAGTCTATTTCACCCCTACAACTAAGCATACAGTCATACTAGCAAGAGTCACAAAGAACACAAGAACATATAAGCATATCAGTAAGTTTCACAAAGACAACTATAATCCTACAACATAATCCAAAGGGTCTGTATTTGTGCCTTCAATCCACGAGTATAGTGAGGATACTCACATCAATCTGATGATAAACAATCACACCCTCAAGCTGTTGCTGCCTCGACTCCTCATAATGAACATATCCAAACATCAACCTTAATTAATAACTAGGGTAATAACCCATAATAGATGGTCTAGATCAAATTCTATCATGCTAAGATTAAAAGACCATTTTACCCTTCCCTCACTTGACCCATCTAAGCATGACCCAAACCTAAGGCCCCAAAATGGCCCAAATGGCCTTCTGGTGAGTACATCATGCATACAACCCCATTACGCCCTACGTATTGGGCCTCAACAGAAAGTTAATCGGGCCTAACCCGTTACGTTATGTATACCTAGAGAGTACACCTAACATATTCTACTTATGACCAAAAATTATCATTAAACTCTTAATGCTTAAAGTCCAAACATCCAATTCATAGATCTAACTCTTAGGAAGATCTTAACTAATAAATTTGGTAACTTTAAGCTTTTTCATGGCTTAAAATGACCTAAAACTAAACCCCTAGGTCCATAACTTCATAAAAATACCAAAAAATTATGCACGAGTGGACTACAACCCTCAAAATCCACTTTTTAAGACTTATCAAACTCAGAAATGGCTAGAATTGATGCTCAAGGTTCTGGAGTAACTTGTACTCATAAGATCCAAGCCATGGGAACAAAACATGTGTAACGCCCTGCTCTGAATCGTTTCCTAATGCGGTGTGGTGACCAAAGATCGGGTATCATTAGGCTTAGTGCTTTTGAGGAAAAGGGATTTAGACCCATCTGGGTATGAGTAATGTAATTTTGATGATCAAGGATTCCGGTTTGTGTTTTGGAGCCAAGGGGTATTTTGGTAAAGTGCCAGTTTGTCTTTTATGGAAATTGGATTTTAGTTTGGCAAGTTTTGAGGCAAGTATGAGTTTATAGAAGCGTAGAGCTTCTCGTTACCTTTTCATGGATATAAGGATTGTCAGAAACAGACTTATAACAAAGAAGTTATGGCCTTAAGAAGTTTGGTATTTTGGGGTTTAACCAAGTACACGAGGCGTACATAAGTGTACGCGTGACGTACTAGTGAGAAGACCAGTATGAGGGTCATACATTGGCGTACACTACGCGTACTAAGGAAAATGAGTGTGCATGCCTTATGGAGTATGTTGGGCGTACCAGAAGTACGCAGCATGTACTCCAGGCGGGCAGGGCCCGATGACTATACTGTTTGCCATTATCTTTGTGATTATCGCATGTGTTTGTTTGATTATATGATTATATGTTTATATATATCGGGAGGGGCCCGATGCCAGGTGGGGCCTAATGATTGACAAATCTGCATACGAAGCAGGGCCTGATGTTAGGTGGGTCCCGATGACAGTCGGGGCCCATTATGTGTTTACTATGTATGGTATGTGGTATTTTGGGGAACTCAATAAGCTTTATGCTTACGGTTTTTATGGTTATGGTTTCAGGAACTTCCGGTTCAAAAGGGAAGGGTTCGGCTTGATCACAGGGCATCGACTCATGTTTCCGCATTATGATGCTTTTGGGAATATACTCTGATAATTGTTTTCTTATAAAATACTTTTGAATATTTAGAAAAAGGATATTGAATGTTGACTTAAAGATGATTAATGTTTTGGATGAATCAAAAATGAAAATTTTGCCTAATAATTTTCTGAATGTTACAACATGCTCAAAACATAACCAAAAGTAGATTTACGCTAAAGAGACATAAATTGTAAGGCCACACCTTAAGATCTGATGAGTAAAACACTCATACATGCTATCTGTCGGCGTCAGCGTCTACCACACCGACAGCGCCAGTGTATTAAGCATATCAGCGTCAGCACTTGGTATAGTTATTCTATGTAATTTTTTGTATATTAGGTATATATATATATATATATATATATATATAATATATATATATATATACACATATATATAATAGATAGCAGATTTGATATCCTTATGCTAAGGATCGGTGCACTACTACAAAAATACCCTTTAATGATACGCATTGCGTGTCATAAAAGCCACAGATGACACGTAAATGTGTGTCAAGGAAGGCCCTGTCATAAAGGAAGACGACACACTTTTGCACGTCGTAAATTTACGACGCACATTCACGACACACAATGCTTGTTAAGGAAGGCCTTGTCATAAAGAAAGACGACACATATTTGTGTGACGTAACCTTACGATGCGTATTAACGACTCGCATTGCGTATCAATAAAGCCCCTATCATAAATGAAGATGACACGTGTTTGTGTGTCATAAACTTCAACAACCATTTACAATACACATTTACAATATGCATTTACGACATGCATTTACGAATAGTAAGAAAACCATAATCACATTTAAACAATTCATTTCACACGATAAATGTATTAACATTTAAACTAAATCACATTCAATAATCTCATTACACATTATATAATATAATGTGTACAAATAATCTCTCTAAATTTGACCTCAAAAGTATAATCAATAACTAATGGAACATTAGAAGGGATTAAGATACATGAATCAACTTTAACCAAATCAAAAAGCACCATAACATCATCCTCAAATACGATTTGTGTGAAAACATGATCAGAATTGTCAGCCATCATAAAAAAAAACACATTATAAGAAAAAATGACAAAAAAACTTATACTTACCAAGTGTTGTCTTGTGTATTGATGTTAAACCGCTTAAGCACACATGAAACGTAATGCTACCTGCATCCACCTGCTCTAGTATAAAGAATGGCAATGACTTGTAACTGGAACAAAATTAGCAAAAGCAAAATGACATATATACCCTTAAAACACACATGAAACTTAAATAAAAATAAAAATAGATAGGTACATACCTGTGGGTGGAGAAAAGTAAAGCAAGGAACTGTCTTTTCCACAACTGATAATTGCTCCAAAAATGGTTCCTCCTCATTTTCCATGTTTACATATGCATTGTCACCTATCGGATGGAGGGAAAATTGGTCAATTAACATCCATAAATTAACGGTGTTAAAGTCAGACTAAAAGCATCACTAAATTGCATTTTAGGTACTAAAAATTTAAATATTTGACCATATTTGTAAAAAATCAATAAACATAAGGGACTAAAAATGCCAATTGCCTAAAAATACATGTAGTATAAGCTAAAAAACTTAATCCCATATATATGATAAAACTAGCAAAGAAACTGGGGCAAAATAGTCATTTTACATGCACTTAACATACATCTATTGACAATGTCAAAGTCAGGGACTGAGGGTACAACGAAGCAACATTTCAGGGACCGGAAGTTAAAAATCAAGCACATACATAAGCTAGAAAATTTTAATTTACCCAAATATAAATGTATTAGAAGCTAAAAGACGTTACTAGCAAAGCCATGCTAAAACATAAAGCCATGGGGGACAAAATGTTCATTTTCGCATGCAATTTAACATCCATCTATTATTAGTGTCTAAGTCAAGGACTTCAGGTGTGAAGAAACTATGCTTTAAGGAACAGAAGTTAAATATCAAACAACTAGACCATACTCGTAAATAGATGCCGATTTTCAACACCCAATTGAGCTTTATACCTTTTTAGTACATATCCAGCTACTATAATTGCAAAAACAACTAAAAACAAGATGAAAAGCCCACTCTCCCATCTGTTAGCAGTAATCTACATAAAAAGATATACATGCAATTAATTAGTTATCAACAAAATGGTGATAAAGTGTAAGAAACAGAAAAAGGAAAAAATAGGTGATATCAAGATCTTTAATAAGAAAAGAAAAAAATGATAACGTTCAAAAACCTTCTCAATCTCTACATACTGCATATGGAAACTAGAGGGCAAAAGAGTAAATAAGCACGTTGTACTTGCATATAAGCAGAAGAAAGAAAATCTTGAATAATGGAAGCACCGGTTTATGGTGATATTAATAGCTCTTCTATTAGACGCAAAGGCTAGAAGGTCAGACATTATTTCTGCAGTGGCACCACCTAGGTCTATTCCAAAATTCTTTTTTGAACTGAAAATATAAAATGATATTTGTAAATTCATAAATAGCGATTACATGCTTACTTGGAAAAACTGGTAGACATCTTCAAGATATGCCTTGTAAAGGGTATTTATCATAATCTCAATATTCATATCATCCAAATGCACTGATGTAATGCACTCTGAAAAGTATGGAGCAAGTGGTGTATCCACATGTACTAGTCTGTAGAGCTCATGCATATTCTGAGAAACTACCAGGATGGCAATACTTAAGAATAAAAAAAATATATTACAATAAGAAAAAAGATCAAGAAAATGAGTTTTAAGGGTAGGTTGCCTATCAATGAGAAGCATGGGTTATTGGTAGAAATTGCTTCGAATCTTCACCTTTAAGTAAAGGAATATGGAAATACACGAACCTTGTGGATGTCACTGGTCGTACCTTCCACCGTAAACCTTCTAAGATCTGAAGCTACATAATAGAATATTTTTCACCTTCGTTACCAGTGTTTAGTCTGTATATTAGATCTATGTTATCAGAAATCAAAAAAAATACGCAATATGTATATGTATATATAGGAGAGAGAGAGAGAGAGAGAGAGAGAGAGAGAGAGAGAGACTTGTAGTTGGTCGCATATTACTTGCATCAAATCGAAATTGAGGGAATGTTAATTTCATAAGATGACTTTGAAATGATATAGAGAACCCTAAATCACCTTTAGGTTTAAAAAAGTGGGAACCGGAAGTAGATCAATGGAGTTAGGGTAGACTGGAGGTAGAGCGGGACTGGGAACACTCAATCATAGGTGAGATCCAAAACCATAAACATCTGATGTCCACAAATTTGTTGCGAAAACCTGGAGAATCGACCTAGGTTTTCCCACTACTGACTTGTGTTCGAAAATCCATTTATGGTGGATGATGGAAGAGAGAGAGAGAGAGAGAGAGGTTTGTTATAGTGTAACACTTGATTTTCGATTTGAGGTGGTTTCCAAGTGTATAATTTCTCTTTGGAACTCGGCGAGTCGAGGTACTTTTTAGCCGCGAGTTTAACGAACCAACTCGGCGAGTTGAGGAGCCTTGTTAGAGGCCATTTTATGCATCTTATAGGGTAGTTTTCATTATCATTTTAGCATCATATTTTGTACATTTTCATGTCATTTAGTTAAATAATGTTCAGCTCATGTATTTCGTTAGAATTCCCGTACTGCTCATGTCTTATGTCGATTTCAGATAGTTCGAGTGGAGCAGTGCTTTGGGAGTAGTTAGATGTGCGTTTGGAGCTTACAATGGAGCTCGGAACTTCTGGAGTATGTTGAGGAATGTTTGGTAGATGCTTTGGTCAAGAAACATTCGATTGAATTGATCACACGAAGATAGAATATACAATATCAAAGTTAAAGGATGTTGATGACAGCTTTGACCCCCTGTCAGTGTTTTGACCATATCTCGAGAACCGTAACTCCGATTGACGCGATTCAAAATGATCTGAAAAGTAGACAAAATTTCGAACGTCATAGGCACAACCTGTGATCGCAGGTTGTCTCCTTTCGATCGCAGGTGACCTTTTTGCGATCGCAAGTTTGATCGCAGGTTGCCTTCGAGGTTCTTTTATGCCCAAAATTCATCCGGAAGTGAAAACTCAAAACCTGCGATCGCAGGTTGTCTCCTTGCGATCACAGGTTGGCCAAAAAGTGTCAAAACAGCATCCTACTTCATTAAAACGGCATTAGATGCATTTATTGCAAAACCTGCGATCGCAGGTTCTCCCCTTGCGATCGCAGGTGCGTCGTTTTTGCTGCTAGACGTATAAAAAGACCCTGATAGCCTTCCAGTAACCTAAGTTGGCGATTCCAGAGGTACCAGACGACGAAAATACGATTTTGGAGGCATTTCTTCTCTGATTTCATCAATTTATGAAGATCTGAAGACTGTGGATCATCTCCTTCAAGTAGATTAGTAAGATTAGTTGTTTGATGTCTCTTTTCATCTATTTTTATCAGATTTTGGCCATGTCTGGCTAAACCCTAGTTTTCAGTTCTGCAAAGACAAGTACTTTTCATGTGATTGATCGTTAGATTTGGTTTCTGATTTGTGTTTCTATCTAGATTCTTCAGTTTTGTTCTTAATGAATGTTTGATTTTGATTCTTGTTAGTTTGATCACCTAGCTAGGGTTTTATCATTCCAGTTAATCAGTTATAGAATACGTAATTGTTCTTGTCAACTGGTAATAAGTAACAAGTAATAAATCGGTTCCGTGTTTGGGATTTGACTTTATTATAAACTGAAAAATCATATATTTACGCTTCCGAGCTTGTGAGAAGTATTGGGTATTGTTGGGAATTTTACACAGATCATAAAGCTACTTTTCTGATTTATTTAAGAGTTTGTTTAATTGAACAGTAAAAAGTTAGAGTTAATTGAAGAGCCTGTTTTGATTAACTAATTTAGGTAAAAGAGAAATTACTAGAGCTTGTTAGTTTTTCTCAGTACCAGCTTAGATAGAACGTATCTCGAATAATCAGATCTAGATCAGTTTCATGATTAGGAAAGTCGCAGCAGAACTGAAATCATTTTTTATATTGATTTTCGTTTAGTTTAATATCATTGCAATTTTAGTTTTTAGTTTAATTCAAATCCCCTTTTTAATAATTTCTGTCTTAACTAGATTGTGCCTGATGCAAAAAGGAATTGACCATTAGTTTGTATCCCTGAGGATTCGACCCTGCTTCCCTGTGCTATATTTTTAGTGCAAGCAGCAGTGATAATTTATTTGCTTAATACGCGTGCTAACTGACTAGATTGTGCCTGATGCAAAAAGGCATTGACCATTAGGTTGTATCCCTGAGGATTCGACCCTACTTCCCTGTGCTATATTTTTAGTGCAAGCAGCAGTGATAATTTATTTGCTTAATACGCGTGCGACAGCGTGCTAACTGTAACGCTCGTAGATCCGCGCTAGTCAATTTAGAGGTAATAGGGGTCGAAAATGACTTTTCAACAAAATATTATTTAGAATAAATAATCTTAACCAAGTTTTAGAATATGTCACAAGGTTTCCGTACATATAAAGAGCATCGAAATCCGAGTTATAACGAAGAAGTTACGACCCGCCGAAGTTTCGCGACGGAACCGGCACGGCATCGGGAAGCATAAATAGTGATTTTATGATGGAGGACTTTTTAGACTTAGTGATCTAAACGAAAGTCGTAGAATATATTAAACCGAGAAAAACCATAAAAACAACGCCCAAATTTGACTTCGTATGAATAAGTTATGATTTTTCTAAGATTCAGCTTAGCAGTGCACAGCCCGAAACTCGAATTTTAGTTCGAGCGGTTTTTGGATTACGTGACTTAAATGAGAGTTGAAGATCTAATTAATAGGAACTTAACAGTAAAAAGACAGACGAAAACAGAGTCCGTATGAAGGAGTTATGAATTCTTCGCGGTCATTTAACGGTCTAAAGGCCTCGTACTGTTAAATTTAAGATCAGTCGAGAATTAGCCGACGGAGTCAAAATGAAAGTTGTATATATTATTTTTACCTACGTTTGGATATAAAGAACGTCAAAAACGGAGGTCGTATGTGAAAGTTATGGATTTTAGAATTCGGAAGTGTGTTGTGCGAAAATGAGTGATGTGGCACAATCTTGGTCATTGCTTTCTCCCCAAGTCTTGCCACTAGATGGTGACATGTGGCACCAAGTTCAGCCATTTTCACCCTATAAATAGAACATCTCCCACCCTCATTTTCTTCACACCTTTCTCATTCTTTCTTCTCTTTACTATCTCTCTCTCTCTCTCTCTAGAACCTCTCTCTAGCCCCGAAACCCCCCGAAAAGCCTAGGGAACCTCCCTAGCACGAGGCGGAAGCCCCTGAGTGCTTGAAGGCTTCGAGAAGAAGAGCTTTTCCGCATGGGAATGCTGCTCCAAGCAAAACATGGTTTTCTATAAAACCCGATGTAAGTGAGCTACGCCTACGCTATTTTTAATATAGTTTTTATTTAATTATATTAACGTTATTAAGAACATATAAAAAGTAATCGGGCTATTATCATGGGTTATATAAGTATTATTTAATGGTTATATAATAGTAATAATAGCTAGACTATTAATTAGTCTCGGTGAATAATAGACTAAACTCTAGTGGTAATAATACTAGGTTTCGTCGAAGGAAATTTTTTTTTTCAAGAAGTGAAGCGTTGTCTGAGTTCGGAATCACCACCTTTTCAAGTGAGTGCATAGTTAGTTTCATCTTACACATAGATATGAACTATTTTATATAAACTAAGTGCTATGTGTGCATATTATCTGTATACTTGTTGTCTATGTTGGATGAACGTTTTTATCCATGTTTTAGATGATTTAAACTGTATACGTATTTTATATACACGAATATGTTGGGTATGATACAGGTAGATGAATGATGAGAGATAAAAGATGGTGTGAGTAAACATTGGCAGCTATAGACTTAGTGCCTAACTAATAAACATCGGCAGCTATGGACTTAGTGCCTATTGGACAAACACCGGTAGCTATGGATTTAGTACCTGTTAAGGAATTGGTAGCTAGTGACTTAGTACCTATTAGATAAACATTGCTATCTATGGATTTAGTACCCGATGAATAGACTATAGCAACTATGGAATTAGTGCTTTATGAACGAGCATTGGCAGCTATGGATTTAGTGCCAGTCCTATAACCCTGGAAGTAAGGGACTTCGGAATAAACGAATGCAGAATAGATGACTCTTAGGATAAATCCTTAAGAGTAAAGAAGATAATAGGGATGGGTAATTGGGTTGATTATTCGATTGTTTAAACATAATAATTATATTATTGTGGGTTGAAAACCCTATGTACTCACCAGGCTTCCCAACCTGACCCACTCAGTTTATTTATATCTCAGGTGTTGATATGAAGTCACATTACACTGAGAGATTAAAGAGATGTAGATCACTAGTGTAAATAAATGTAAGTTCTGTTTATGCTTATGTTCATGTATTGACGATGACATCCCAAACGTTTTAAAATGAATAAAATACGTTTCTTCGAAAATGTTTTAATAACGAATTCCGCAACATTTTTATTAAAAGAAGAACTCTGATTTTTATAAAGCATAAACAAAATCGGTCTTTTCTGGCCGCCAACTCGACGAGTCCCTACTCTCACTTCTCAACCCTGATCGCTGCTACTCGTCGAGTATGGCATTAACTCGACGAGTTCCCTTTCGATTCT